TATTTTTTACTTAAAAAGTATATAGCTAAAATTAATATTTAGAATTTTATTTTAAAAATAAAACTTTTAAAAAATTTTCAGTACAAATTTGTACAAGAAACAGTTTAAGGGATATTATATATACTTTATATAAATAAAGATTTATAAATTAGTAATCATTGTTTACCGGTATTAATTAAAAGCATGACTGTCGCCAGGGGAAAGCCAAACTTCTGGCTTTGAATTTATTATTGACCAGATTAGATCTGATTACGCAGTGATTTGTGATACGTAATAAAAATCAAATTTAATCGTTTCCAATTGTTCAATATAAAATAAAACATTTCGCTGAATCAATTTTTAGGGGCTGAGTCCGGCAAAAAATATAATTGAAAGCCCAAATTCTGATTTTCCCTTTAAGTCGCTCATATATATAAATTTATAACGATATAATATCCATGTTGAAATAATATTTAATTCCGAATGCAAATTTGTTAAAAATATATAAATTATATCTGAAAACACATAAGAATAAGTTCATATTTTGTAAATGATTAAATGAAAAACCTAATTTAAATATAAATGGCGTGTGAGTTTTCGGCATTTTGGTTGAGTGCTTATTGGACAAATTATTCATGAGTGACATACAGATCTGCACGTAGAATAGCACGTACGGCTTGCTAATATAATTATATAGATTACTAATTTAAAAAGGATATGACAAAATTTTTTGGAGGTAGTGAATCTTTTTCGAGGCGTTCTAATGTATTATCTTCAACTTTAATAACTTCGGCTTTACGTTTAGCTTCTTTTTTAGCTTCATCAGCTTCTTTAAATAATCCCTCGACATCCTCCAGATCTTTATAAGGGCTTTGAAATTCATATTATGTAAATAATTATATATGTATTTGCTAAATGAAATAACACATAATGACATTTTAATATTCATTCTTACTCGCTATAGAAAACTTTTTTGACCCCTGTTTGAATTAATTTTTTTGCGCAGTCTTAAAATTTCAAAATGTGCAAACTCAGTATAACTTAAAAGAAAATAATAAATTCATTAAAACATATATATTACATACTAAGACACGGTGACCTAAAAAAAAATTAAAAACATTATATGAATATCTGATAGTTGTATACAGTATATAAATTTCATTTATATTTGGCATACACTTACGTAGTACAATAAAGAGTACAACCCTCCATTACGGCGCATTTGTAAACTACCCCAAAATTTAAAAAAGTTTGACTACGGATAGTGAGTCAATTTAATTGACATCATTTATACGTATGAGTTATAAACCAATGCTATCAGTATTAATAATATCCATGTTTTCATAGTTCTGTCTAATGAGGTGCGTCACTACGCATAAATAATTTAAGATGGATTACATGAATAATTTATTAAGAATTTAAGATGGGTTGGATGGTGGGAAGATGGGTTAGACATAAGACTGCCATAGATCTGGGGTGCAAAAAAATTTTTTCGGGGTTTAATTTTGATCGTTTGATAATGAATTTGGTGAGCATTATTTTAAGTTTGGTGACCATTATTTCAGATTTGGTGACCAAATATTTGCTTAATTCCGCCAATGCGCCGTAATGCTGCTTCCATTCCGGCTATCATTAACGCATTTTCTTCCGCGTGTATACATTTACAAAGATTTTTATCTTTACCACTACAACTTTTACAATTACCTTCAATACAATGTTTAATATTTGTGGGTGTTCCATTATATCCAGTTGCAATTACTCTATAACCGTTTTTAACTAATACACATCCAACTTTACGGCTCATACAATTTGTTCTTGATGCTGTCAACTCTGCTAGATACATAAAATAAGCATTTTTCGTTGGTCGTTTTGGTAGCAATACCTTTATCTCTTTACCATCACACGTGGTGTACTTGGACATTATATTACGAAGTTCTTTTTTTGATTTATCAGTGAGCTCAGTGAGATCAGCATTCACAGTAAGATCAGATTTCACAGTGTGGTCAGCAATGGACAATATTTCATGGTTTTTATCATTATCCCACCACTTATCACTTTCTTCCATAAACTCAAAAATTTGGCTATTTCCAGAATCTTTGCTTTTTTTCTATTTCAATAATAATTATTTAACTAGGTTCATTAACAGATAGTAAGTACTTCAAAATTAATACTCACATTTTTTTTCCAGTATTCGTATTTATCCTTCAATTTATTATCCACGGCCAACAATAAAAAAAGAGAGCTTTTTCTATTAAGACATATCATTAAACTTATATCTTTATAACTTGTCGTATTTAAAAGGTTACATATAAAAATTACCTATATTCCTTTAATTCTTCGGTAAGCTCATAATTCTCGGTATAGTTCGTTTTTATCTCTATAACATCATCATCAGTCTTTAAATCTGCAGCATTCCTTTTGATTATTATCACATAATTCTCGTCGTACTTATTTTTGACCATTTTTAAGAAATCCGTAGTCTCGTTTTCAGATTTATACGGTTTTTTTTTGTTTAAGAGTTCAGTATCCTTGATTTCAACTTTATATGTTTTGGCCATGTTTAAAAATTCAATAATCTCTTTATTTTTATGATCTTCGATCCATTTGTCATATTCTTTTCTTCCATCCTTAAATTTGTATTCTTTTTTAAGATAGTTGATGATAGGCTTTGGGTCAGAACAAAAAGAATTTATAATTCCAATAAGCATAATCGTAACTTTTATATTTTAAAAAAATTTTAAAAAATTCGTCAAACGTAATATATAAAAATGTATTAATAAAAGGTTATCTAATTTAGATAAAACTTTTAAAATATATGTATTTTGATCTTCTGAACAACTTTCACTTAATATGATAGATCGATTTACTTAGTAAAATTTTGACTTTACTATAGAGTAACTACTGACGATTATATAAATAGCTTATTTTT